TTAAAAAGGAATCAATCACAAAAATTGAACTTTTTCTCGACTTTATAAAGCCATAAAATTCATTTGTTGGCCCTTTTGGGCCCTTTCACAGACCCAAATGACGGATTTCCCAACCCTTTCATATACTTGAGCTAGTAAAATCCCTCCCCTTTCACACACCTAAAGCCTGAAAAAGATACCCCTTTCAGGCGGAGCCTCCCCGTATAGGGCATCATAGGGAGTACCCCCCTCCCCCCGCGAGGTCAACATTCAAGGAAAATAGGCTGATTGTTTGCACCTCACACTTCTCTTAGAGCTGCTATACATCTGTTATACAGCAAAAAAACCACCGAAATGTCGATTGCTCCATGAAGTTCGTCCCGAAAAACCATATTTTATCTGGGAGGAGTTTTTCAAGGTGTACTGTAGGACGCATGGTTCATCACAATCCTGATCTCGGGTGCAGTATGTAGGCTTCCTATCATGGCTGCCGCAGTTTTAACGATTTTCCCTCCTTCTAAAGATAGAAGAATTCTAAAACTTCTGAGATGCTGCATAAGTGGGCACAACTTATAAAGCTTTACCATCAGGGAAAGGCCAACTTCCTTGCAAAACGTCTGCTGGAATGCAGTCTGGTTCAGGAGTTTCATCCCTGGATTGGCATGCTAATTGCATTTTAAGTTTAGGCTGGCCCAAGATCCAAGTGGTTACGGAACCTCATTGCCCCGATATTCGAATGTGCAGCCGTAGTCGAATTCAGCTGCCTGCCTGTGTGATTGTGACCACGGTGCCTGAGTATCAGGCCTTTCTTTGAGGAGATTTCTCTTTTCCCTTCCGTCTCCCGCAGAAACGCCTGGTTCTCTGGCTATGGCCACGGCTGCTATTGCACTAGATTTGAGACGTCTAGATGGATTGGGATAGGGAGGAAAATAAGTATAAAGTGACTTGTGCATTAGCTTAGAGTGAGAAAGAAGAATTGTACAGTTTGTTGTCGTCACTAGTTTCAAACTCTCCCGAACTCTTAAAACTCACCTGTATCCAGCAGCAAGACAGGGCTTACTGGTCAGGGTCGGAATTGAATACAGTGGATGACCACGATCCTGGCCTAGCTTCGTCACGTATCACGTTCGATGCACGTCTCGCTGAAACTAAATAAATCGCCTTTACCCACACATTGCCCAGGGTAGGAAATTTGGCTTGTGTAGGGAAACAGTTTCCCTAGTGTAGTTCTCATTAAGCCTATCCACTAAAAGGCACTACATTGAGTAGACGTTTTAATTTTGGGACAGTTTATAGCTCAGTGTTTACCTGCTTATATCAGCTTTACATTTTGGCGAATTGACTGTATGTTTTTATTCATATCTCTTGAAAAAATTGGATCCACAGCAGATAAGGACAAGAAAAAAAACCTGCCTGAATCTTCTGACATTTGTGATGATCCCATGTATGCAGATGCCAACGGTGATGCTAAGAATCAGTCAGAGGAGAGCGATACTGAAGAAGGTTCTAAACAGCAAGGAGCTGGAGGTGGTCTTTCTCAAGAGGATGAAGATTATAATGATGACAGCGATGAAAATGAATCGGACCAGGAGGTACTGTCGTGTTAAATGGTGCTTAATAATTGACCGTCTTGCTATCTTTAAAGGGGAACTTAGTGCAGTGCTGCGGTGTAGAGCTACATTGCAGTGCTGCCTCTTGTGTAGTTACTTTGGGTGCAGCAAACCGTCAGAATAAATATCTAATTGATTGCCAACCAACGTGCTTTTGCAAATTTTGTACTTGGAATAGGGGATCTATAAATGCACCAAGACGATCATTTGTATAACTGCCTTTTATATTTTGTGACAAACAGCGTAAGTAATACACAGTGAGAAGGAAACCACTTCTTTGTTACCTGGGATTTGCATTCAATTTATACTCTATTACATTAGACTCTTTAACCTTTTAGAGTTGTGTTTTGATGTTTTTTTTCTTAGGAAGAAGTTTCAAATCTCAAGAAAGACGCGGCAGAACAACAACCTCCAACAAGCAAGAAGAAGAAGACAAACCGCTTAAGTAATACCCACATTAAAAGGGAGAAAAAGAAAGAGAAGAAAAAGCAGAAACAAGAAGAAAAACGACAAGCGGCGCAGTGAGTATTTCCGTCAGTTCACATATTTCACTCCGTTCAAAATGTTTGGCAAATCTCTTTGTCTCTCAAAACCCACAATAAAAAACCATTTGTGATTACATGAAAATCGAGCCAGACTAGTCAGCAAAAATCTTAGCTGGTCGGGCTAAGGCGTTTCTTTTTATCGCATTTACCGCGTGCCGCTTGACAAAGTGGAGCTGATAAAAAACTAAATCAATGAAATAAATAAAAAAAAAAGTAAATAAAAATCGTTAGATTTCGTATTGAAGGAATTCATATTTCTCCCCCTGTGAAAAGTGTAACAGTTCTACGAGAATGGCTCCGCGCATTCTTCTTGCTGGCGCCATTATGCATTGATTTTGTTGCAAGAAATTTGCCTGCCCTCTGCTGAGCTATCACGTTTAAAGTAATAAAATGCTGAAATAATTAACTAGGTAAACGTAGTCTCCGACAGTAGACAGCTTAGTAGATGGGCAAAGTGGGCCAATACTTCTCGTGTAGTTAGGCCCTCATCTGACTAATTTAGCGCATCTAGACCGTTCTGTTGTTCAAGAAAACTAGCTGATACTCGTGATATTAATGTGTAAGCGCGGTGTCAGTAGATTAAGCAATTATTGAATAAGGCTGAATATGATATGTAGATTGAGGAGGCCAGAAGGGATTTTTTTTGTTTTCAGCGGATAGCACCCTCCAAGATTGGTGTAATTCATGTCAGGTTCAAGGTAGTCAGAAACGATTAATATTTGAATGAATAATGGTGTAGTTTCCTATAGTTTCTCACCCCAGGGAAATTTTGTCGCAGACGGTTTGTCAGTTATTTTGGTATGACAGTAAGGCCTCGGCCAAACGTCGGACTTTTCATGAGACGAAGCAAACTCTAATTGAGTCGACCTAAATTAAGTTAAGGTCGTCCGTTGGCCGGGTCAGTCGTCGGAGTTAGGACGTGTTAAGGTGGCTCGATACAGTTTTTCAGGGTCAATGCCTGCCAAGTTTGAGCATAAACTACGTCGCCAAAAACAACGTTTTGGAAAAATTGCCACCACAGTTGTATTAGATAAAGATGAAAATTTGTTCTGATCAGGGTTGCAACGGCATCGGAGTTGTCATAGCAACGAAATGACGCTACTACCTATTTTACTTGCAGCAGTATATCTCGGCACTGGGAACTGTTCTTCGAAAATCATTCACGGGAGCTTTTTCCTCCAATAGCAGCCTCGATGTTCGTGAAATTTAAGCGAAATCTGTAAGAGCGTTATCGAGATATTTTGGGATAAAGTTTTTATTGTTAGAAACACTGTAAAAAATGGACAATATTGTTGTTTGACCGTTATCTGTAGAAAATGAAGCGCTTTCGACATGAAATTTCACCTCATAGTAGTTTCAATCTTTTTAAAAGCGTGTGTGAAAGATCATGGAAGATAGCTCCAGCCGATTGCTAGAAAGAAGGGTTTGATTAGTATGTATCGAGGCGCTCTTGTTAGCGGTTTTGTAAACATTTTGGTCTACTTTAACAAATTAGCGAATAATTTTTAAACCGCTCGATAGATTGTTTTAAAAATTTAAGATTCTTGAGATTAACCTTCCTTTTATATAACCGTTTTAGTTTCAAGATTATTGATATATTGTAAGGCAGTAAAATAAGGGCTACAATTCGTTACTTTTTTATCGGAAGTTTCGTCATTACAAGTGAAAGCCTCTAATTATTCAAGGCATTGTCTCCAAGTTTCATTTTCACGTGAACAGCAGTAACCAACAATGCGTTTGAAATATGCAAAAATGCTAGCTATTGTTGTGCACGAAAATATGAAACTTGGACACAATACCCTGAATAATGAGAGGCTCACACTTGTAAACACAAACTTTCTGCCAAAGTATTAGCAAATTGTAGCCCTTATTTTACTGCCTTACAATATATCAATAATCTTGAAACTAAAACGGTTATGTAAAAGGAAGGTTAATCTCAAGAATCTTAAATTTTTTAAAAAATCTATCGAGTGGTTTAAAAATTATTCGCTAATTTGTTAAAGTAGACCAAAATATTCAAAAAACCGCTAACAAGAGCGCCGCGATACATACTAATCAAACCCTTCTTTCTAGCAATCGGCTGGAGCTATCCCCTTGATCTTTCACACACGTTTTTAAAAAGACTTAAACTACTATGAGATGAAATTGCATGTCAAAAGCGCTTCATTTTCTACAGATAACAGCCGAACACCAAGATTGTCCATTTTTTACCGTATTTCTAACCACAAAATCTTTATCCCAAAATATTTCGATAACGCTCTTACAGATTTCGCTTAAACTTCACGAACATCGAGGCTGCTATTGGAGGAAAAAGCTCCCGTGAATGATTTTCGAAGAACAGTTCCCAGTGCCGAGATATACTGCTGCAAGTAAAATAGGTAGTAGCGTCATTTCGTTGCTATGACAACTCCGATGCCGTTGCAACCCTGATAAAAACAAGTTTTCATCTTCATCTAATACAACTGTGGTGGCAATTTTTCCAAAATTTTTGTTTATGACGACGTAGTTTATGCTCAAACTTGGGAGGTATTGACCCTGAAAAACTGTATCGAGCCACCTTAAACCCAACTGAATCAGATCAGTAATAAATTTTCTCACGATGAGGCTAAATTTACATAATCATACGAATTTTTAATTTAGTAGTTTAGTTCGTCGTATGTGAGACCGGAGACGATCTTCAGACATTCTTCTTGTCTGAAGCAGAGGGATAGAATGTGTTGGGCGATTCAGACTCTTTCAGACTAACTTGACTGAGCCTGACTTTTCATTACCTTAACTCACAAAGTTCGATTCGTCTTATGAAAAGCCGTTCGACCTTTGGCCTTGGCCTAAATGAACTTGCGGCTGCTGGTCGTCTTTTCTTTACAGGAAGAAAATACAAGAAACTGATACCTCCACTGGGTCAGGAAAAGACGCAGCCAAGAAAAGTGAAAAAGACCAACCCAGAAGCCACAAACAAAAGCAAAGCCAACAACCTGAGAACAAAGAAGGAAATGAGAATCGTACAAGTGGTGAAGATGATCACGATAGTAGAGACAACACAGAATATTTTGCCACATACAAGAAGAGTAAAATGACGGTCTTTTTCCATGCTGTCCTTGCACCTCATTTCAAGTTTGATGCCCAGCAAGGTGACAGAATCTTCATGAGGTTTGGTGGACCTGTCTTTGGAAAATTCAATGAAAATATCGTGGAAGTTTTTCCTAAATGGTACGTTGTTTGGTGTTGCATTGAGCACAATGCTTCAGTGAGAATACATGTATACAGCTGAATATAACTGTCCACTTTATTGTCCAAGTTCCTAATCGGTGTACAGACGATATTACTTTGCACATTTCAAGTTTTTTTATAATGTCTTAAAACGTTCTTATCCGTTTTTAACTGTGTTTAATAGGTGCCTCAAGCTAACACTTTCCACTTTGTGTCTTGTTTTCGTAATTTACGTTACCGAAGTGACATCAGCATTTTTTACCCGTTAAGCCTTGTGCCCATATAAATCGTGCCTAGTTCATAGACCTCAAACGTTTTGGAAGGAAGGAAGAAGTTCCCAACCTTTCTTCTCGGTTACGTCATCGAAATGAATTGACCGTGTGGACCTGGGACGATTATGTAGCATCACATTGTAATGTGTGTACTGTTGGAATTCCAAGAGAGAAAGAAAGGAATTAACAATATTTCTTTTGGCTCTAGTTCTCTGGAAAATGATTTTATCTTGGTTGAAGCGCAGCTGTTGTTGCCAGTTGATTACGCTTTTCGAAGACTGTTTTACAAGTACGTTGTGTGGAAGGAAAAAACGAAAGATAAAGACAAGTATGTGTGGGAACACTTAGTCGGCTTTGATGTCCATAGCAACAGGTGCCTTTTAATTCCAAAAGCCAGGTGTGAATCAGGAGGTAATACATTTTTTTACATACTTATTTTTGTTTAAGTATTTTTTTTTATTGCAATCCATCGTACTTGTCTTATCAGAGGGGTAAGTTAATCATGATTTTTATATATTGCCTGACTGCAGAAGAAAGAAAATATATTTACTGGTTTATTCAAACAAACCTCCTCCCAATCTCTATTCAAGGTTAATTTATCTCGGTCCTGAGGGTGTCCCCTGAATAGATGTTACACTGTAAGCAATGCCTTCGAAAGGTGAAATATCCCTAGAATGACTTTCTATTACTGACGTACTTACCCTTTGGCGAATATGTCAGCAAAAAAAAAAAGGTTCACGAGTATGATATACGCGGTTTACCATGAGCAAGCATTCTTGCGTTTGACGTTAGAAGAACGCAACACATAATCTTGGGTGTCCTGTGGTACTCAAGGGTGACCTTTTTGTGGTACTCATTTCGTCGTACGTCTGCATTTTCTGCGCCATGTTGAATAATTTATCTTGTGGGCACAAAAATGTTAAATACAATTAATAGACCTTTTTACTGATACGGCGGCCATATTGAATTAATTCGATTTAAGGAGTATTATAGGATGCCCAGGGGGGCATGAGCACATTTCGTTTGTATTTTCGAACGCTTTTCGGGACATTTTTTCTTAAAGTTTTCTTAGAATAAGATTGTAATGGGAAAAAAGATCCTTGTGCCGTGTTTTGATGTAATAATGATCGCCTTTTTCCCGAGAAATATACAGTGAAAGACCATATTTCTAATAGTAAACTAGAAAAAGGCGATCGTTATTACATCAAAACACGGCACAAGGATCTTTTTTCCCATTACAATCTTATTCTAAGAAAACTTTAAGAAAAAATGTCCCGAAAAGCGCTCGAAAATACAAACGAAATGTGCTCATGCCCCCTGGACATCCTAAAATACTCCTTAAATCGAATTAATTCAATATGGCCGCCTTATCGGTAAAAAGGTTTATCTGACAGACGGAATTAGTGATGGTTGAGTTGCCCTTATACGTCGAAGGTCTCGGGATCGACTCCTGCCGGGTGAGACTCATTTTCTTTTTTTCGTAGTCGTTTTGTTTTGTTTTGTTTCTTTTTAAAAAAAAAACATATGGGGAGCGTTTTGCAGCATCAATTTATTAGGAAACAACGTCACCTTTGACATTAAACGTAAAAAAGTTCGAACGCACTTCCTAATCTGAGANACATTTTTTCTTAAAGTTTTCTTAGAATAAGATTGTAATGGGAAAAAAGATCCTTGTGCCGTGTTTTGATGTAATAATGATCGCCTTTTTCCCGAGAAATATACAGTGAAAGACCATATTTCTAATAGTAAACTAGAAAAAGGCGATCGTTATTACATCAAAACACGGCACAAGGATCTTTTTTCCCATTACAATCTTATTCTAAGAAAACTTTAAGAAAAAATGTCCCGAAAAGCGCTCGAAAATACAAACGAAATGTGCTCATGCCCCCTGGACATCCTAAAATACTCCTTAAATCGAATTAATTCAATATGGCCGCCTTATCGGTAAAAAGGTTTATCTGACAGACGGAATTAGTGATGGTTGAGTTGCCCTTATACGTCGAAGGTCTCGGGATCGACTCCTGCCGGGTGAGACTCATTTTCTTTTTTTCGTAGTCGTTTTGTTTTGTTTTGTTTCTTTTTAAAAAAAAAACATATGGGGAGCGTTTTGCAGCATCAATTTATTAGGAAACAACGTCACCTTTGACATTAAACGTAAAAAAGTTCGAACGCACTTCCTAATCTGAGATTACTACTAGTTTAACTAATTTATCCTATGCCACCCATTATGAAGAAGGGGAATTCTAAAGAGTTCTTCAGAAAACGATATTAGGGCCGCATAAATTTCAGGAATGACAGCTTTTGGTGGCAAACCTTAAATCGTAAAATCTGCTTATGTCATTACGCACTTGAGGTTTTGATCGAACATTCATTATAAACTCACAGGGTTTTTGCCAACTTTTCTGAATTAGGAAAACAAACCATACAAGCTAAAAAGGTGAATGAAGGAGTATTGCAACCAGTTCCTTCATTTGAATTTTTAGCGTGTAGCACACCAGCTTTTAGTTTTTGGAACGATATATTTTTCAGCTATGGAAATTGATATATGAAGTGTCTCAGTGATTTCTTTTATCTTTAAATATTGTTCAGGTGTATGGCACCAGTATGATGATGGAATTTTTAGTCCACCAAACGCTGCTCAAAAGTTCCGCAACATGATGCCGGTATGGAAGAGCATGGATCCTCTTGAAGGAAGAAAGATAGCGACTTTGGCAATGCTGCCTGCCTGGGAAGGATTCACAGTAGGCCAAAAAGACACAACTATGACCGCTTGGGAAGCAATAACAGCTGTTGAGGATCTGGCTTACTGTATGAAAGAAACACGCGTGGAAGAACATAGTATCTTGAAGAGGAATGTTCCACCACTGTATGACTTCAACAGGGTACGTACGTTACCATTGACAGTACAAAAAAGATAGCAATTAAAGAGGCTATGTTACGCTTAAACGTGTCTTTGCATCAACTGAATTGGAAGAATAATTTTACAGTTTTGTTATTAAAGAATACATTTAGGCATTGGAACTGTTCCCTACAGGATGCTAGTTCATGTCTACCTCTCACCATAAAACTATGATGGTTAGTGCTTTCTTCCTCCTCCTCCTCCTCCTCCTCCTCATTTCTATTGCTTTCCCTTCTCCTACTCCTCCTCCTTATTTTTATTGTTGTCCCTCCTCATTCTCGTCCTCCTCATTTTCATTGTTTTTCTACCAAACAGGTTATATAGAGGGTCAGAGAGGCCAGAAGGGCCAAGAACGGGCTAAATAACCTCTATGATAAATAAAGGAAAAAAATAGAAATGAGGAGGAGGAGGAGGAGGGGGAGGGGGGGGGGGGGGGGAGGGGGGGAGGGACAAAAGGAGAGGGGGGGGGGGGGTGGGGGGGGGGGGGGGGGAGAGGAGGAGGAGGAAAACAATAGAAATGTGGTGGTGGTATGGCTTTACTATTCACAAAGCTGTGTTGAAATACACGTTGAGTATGGAGTCGTTGCAGGGTCGATGTGGTGGAGGGTAATACAAACTAAAGAAAAATAAAAAAAGAGTTAGTCTTCGCCCTCGTTAATATGCACGATTTGCGCGCCAAACATCATTGAACCGGAACTAGGACAATAACAGCGCCAGAAAATAGAACTTGCATAATTACGTTACGACTCAGTGATTTCAAGTCCCTCAAAAAAGGAGTAACCGGTGAGCCCTATACTACTGAAAGGTACATCATAAAGTGATATAAAGCTTAGTAATAAGTATAGATCAGCGTGTTCCCGTAGTATCATTCCAAATTTACCCTCATGACCAGAACTGGAAAGGATCCAACCTTCATGGCAAAGATAACTTTACATGTATTACCAGAAACTCATAAGGGGTTGGGGTTCTGGTATTACCTAATGAAGCTCTCGTAGCCTCGGCTTAGGCGATCTTCTAATTCAAATCAGAGACATCATCCATTTGAACTTACAAAATTAGTTGTTAGTTAAACGTTTATTAGAGTGTTTGTAAAGTTTTCTCTGTATGTAGTTTCAGTGCTCTTTTCTTGGTACTAACGCGTTGTTTTTTTAATTCTCGACTCTTGCCTTTGTTTATACCCCTTGTAGTTTCTAAAGGATTTCCTCAAAGCGAAGATTCACCAGAACTCTTCACTTCAGTCAGACGCATCAGACGACAAAAAGGTTCTTCGCTTAGTGTCATCCGTAGCAATTGCTTACGTTCTTCACAGGCATCCTGACATTTCGCTCGATAGAGAGGATTATGCCAACCTGTTTCCTTCTTTCATTCTCGAGCGAGACCAGAACGTACAAACGTGTACTGTTTATGACAAGCTCTTAAAACACTTCCCCAGCGTAGAGTGGCAGTAAGTCTTATTCTTTGTTTGTAAATAGAATAGATGAAAAGTGTAGAAAATGTGGCATGTCAGTAATTTCAAAGAGAAGTGAATTCTCGGCTGTCACGGGGACATGCTCATGGGATTCTTTGGAATTCTGATTCTTCAATGGGAAATAAACAATAAAATTTTGATTGTATTTACATACTCTTCAACGTTACACCTAAATTACCTCTGGAAGAAAAACATGTCCTGTAGTAAATACTCTATATTACGGGTCTAGGACAGATACGAAAATAAATAATTGCTGTAACTCTTCAAGCTTAAGGAAAACATTTTAAAGCGCAAACACAAGTACCATCGTTAATGGCGTTGACAGGAACATGTCACTACTCTCAGCTAGACTGTGCTGAATAACAGGTTAAGTAACAGCAGCGTTATTATTATTATTATTATTAATAATATTATTATTGTTATTGCATGATGTTGTTATGTTGTTGCAATATGGCCCTCATTTCCTTTCGACTCTTTCGTAAAAATTTGGGCAACTTGCGAGATGTTTTTGGGCAAATGGTTTACCGCCCCCCCGAGCAAAAAATTTCCCGTACGCCTATGCTTGCAAATGCAGTTTGACTTGAGTGGAAAGCTATTACCCACAAGACGATACTTAATCAAGACCTTGTGAAATGTATGAAATTTAGATAACAAAGGATAGTGTGGGCGAGCAGACGATCTAAAGAGATGCCAACGATTGGGGAGAGACCGTTAATTTGCGATTAAATCAGTGTTCGTTTATTCTTCACCAGGAGACTGGGAGAGGCTATTCAGGCTATCTGTAGGAATGTCGCCAAGCAGTGTTATGACCTTCATGAGTGGTTGTTTGCGGTACCCTTGGTTCATTTTCTGACTCAAGCATCAGAGCCATTTACTAGTGATGTGTTGCTCATAGAAGAACCTAAACGTAACGATGACAGCTGGTGGGGTGCCACTGGCTTTGAAACGAAATGCGTCAGAGAAAGGAGTTTTAGTGAAAAAAGGTAGCTTATAACAAACCTACTAGTTTATTGTGTAAGATATATCACTTGTGATGGGTCCTTTGTTAAAATACCATGATATTCGTTAAAGTGCAGTTAGCTTTCCGTTCAGAGGAAAACAAACTTCTATGTCTTTTTTTTCTTGACAATTTGCATGATAATCGTATTTGCAAACAAAAGCACCGTTTGTATAGCAGTGGTTTAATGCGTCTGTTTTTGGTTTCAAGATTATAGGTGGTTTTCATGCAATCTCGGGAGACACAAATAACAATGGTGAAATGAACAAATGCTGGTCGACAAACAAAGCGAGCTAATGAGCGATCTTTTGTTTACAATCCACCAGCATGGCGGCGATGACGTAACGTGAAAACCACCTATATACAACGATTACAGCCGAACACATGGGAAAAAGTCAATACAAAACGGACAACTTTATGCCTAGTTATCGTTGAACAAAATAAGAAGGAGTCCAAGTCAAGGATATTTTAGCAGAATCAACGTTCAGACACTTTAGCAGAGAGAAAATATTAGTTTCTTGTAACGATTAGGTGCTAAAGCGTCCCACCGCTCTCGAACCATTAAAGGAATAGTCAATTATGTTTTATTGTTTGACGTTTGCCAACCAGCCCATTACATTTACGAAAACGAATGTTAAGTTGTCTGCTTTATTTCTTTCGTGTCTCAGATGTCCGTCGTCCTGGATTCAATATTTGTCTCCATTATTTGAGCTGGATCCTCTCTTCAGAAGGACGTTTCTTCTGGTTGTTCCAGTCAAAGAGTTTGGCAAAATTGCTTTTTCGGGGGCTTTTACTCCTGCTGAAATATATACCACGCTTGCTAAGGGTCTGCTTGAAAAGGGTCACATACTACAAAATTGTCCAGAGGTAACTGTATTGGGAATTTTGACATTAAACCTTGTCAGATTGGTATTTTGTGGTAAACGTTACGGCTATAAAGTCAAGTTTGAGTCTATTACGTTACACTGGCACCCAGGGCTAAAAGCGAAGCTCTCGACAATATTTATCATGTTTGCTCAAACAAAATATAAAATCGTGTAATGCTAAGCGGTGAAGGCAACGAGAGCGGTGAAAAAACAACAATAGGTCTACATAGGAAGCAACTTTGCATGTGCAGCACACTTTTTTTGTACATTTCTTTGCTGTTGTTTTGCACGACTACAACGTGAAACTTCCAGAAACGTTTATGGAGGAAATGTCGTACGTGTTCTTGTTCACTTCTTTTTTACGTCTCGCATTTTCATTCTGGTGACCGCTAGCATTTCTCATTTTCTCACCGCCGCTACAAAAGTTCATGTTGTTCCTCCAACAAAAAATGTTTCCTTTGTTTTTTCTCTCTCGCTTAAGCTCTTTTTCTCGTTGAGCTCCGCTCTCCGTTTTCGTCTTTATTGACTCTTCAGTTGTCTTTGCGTCACGAGACGCGGGTGGCCATACGCTTTCTTGCCAAAGTAACGTGACATTTGACATCGGCTTACATGTAGTGGGTGTAGGGATGGTTGGCGTTCGGGCGAACGCTAAGTCATAACCAAATTGTCTTGTTTCCATGGGCTTCCACTGTGTCTTTCTTTCGTGTTATTAAACGACGCAAAATTTTCAACAAATTTTAGTGTAAATATTTTGTCTCGGATGCAAGTAGGGCGTCGTAGGTAGAATATAGAATTTGTTTGGTGTCATCTCTCTAAATTTGTGTTTCAGTATGACAATTTATTTTAACTAGATGGATGCTGTTGCCATCAACTTAAAGAGAGATGTCAAGTCAGTCCTTGAGGAGAAGACTAAAGAGTAAGAGTGCCAGTGGTTCTCGCATTTTTGCTTCTTAGTAAACTTTAAACTTATATGTATTTCTAAACAGTCACTTGTCATCTCATGTTTGAATGTTTTGTTGTAGTTTGAATGACAGTTTGAATGGCTATCCTTCACTAGATCTTGTCATTGTGAAAGGACTGTTTTTAAAAATTTAATACTCATTACAAAGTAGTCATGATCATTTATAAACCATTAAATTTAACCGTTCTCTCTTCATAAAATTTTCAATTTCGTTTGTCATTAGGTTTTCCAGCCCTGATGATAAAGTTATCTGGAAGCAAGAAGTTCTTCTCTGTTGCATCTCCTGCTTGCGTATTCTAAGGGCCGTTAGTAATTCTAAATGCAGTATTGAACTCTTGCTTGACTGTTTGCGATGCATGGAGACCTGCATGTCTCTGCTGTTAAAGACCGATCCGCAAGAACAGGGGCAAGAGCAAGCTTTGAAAAAAGTGGAACAACTGCTAGCGGAGGGTTTTGAAGTAATCAAGATGTGGTCGAACAAAACATTGTTGGACAAATTTCCCTGCTACCTCACAGATGAAATAGAGAAAGAGCTTAAGGTAGATTGAAAAAGTGTTTTTTTTCTTAAGTCTAATGACAACATATGACACGTTTAATTTAGAAGGAAAGACTTCGATCCGTCAATGACCATCTTTAGTAGAAAGTGAAATGTCAATTTACTTTAAAATTTGCAATTATATTTGTAACAAAGAAATAGTTATAAATCCTAGCACTGATTACTGAGAATGGTGCAACACCTTGCTTGGTCTCCGCTCGGCTTTCTCCCATTGTTTTAAGAGCTTCCTTGTATCTACTGAAGCACAAGTGGTGCTCTGATGCTGAAAATGGATGCGCTTGATAAAAAATATTACGATTTACCTTTGATGATACCTGCGTAGCAATTCTACAACTTGTTGATGTGACAACAAAAAAATAATAAAACAATCTTACTCGTTCATGAGAGTTTACTAAATGAATTGTAGATCTGGTCAAACTTACTCTCCCTGGAGTGGACAAATGAAAGATGTGAAGAGCTTTGGAAAGGCCGTGTGTTAGAGAAGTTGGAAAAGCGTTTGGAAGAGGTAGGAGAATAATTATTTTGGGAAAAAAATTTTATTTGAGCTGATATATTGTGACAAGGTGATACGAAAAAGATGCTTATTTTCTTAGTGAGTCGATTACCATACCATTCTCGGAGACCCAGGGTCAGTCAATCGGGCCGAGAGAAAAGGCGCGGCGAACGTTTTCAAGCACAGGCGGAAAAACCCCTGGGTACCGACTCTCACCGGACCATTTCCAAACGGTCAAACGAATGCTCGCTCCTGATTGGGCACAAAAAACGCTTTATATGATTGTTCCCAATCGGCGATGAGCATCTCTAGAGTTCTTTTAGTTAGTACACGACTGTTGTCGCGCCATACTTCTCCGGTTTGTTTACCAAGGTTGTGCGTGCAAGGGAAAATTTCATTTTGTACTTTCCTAACCAGAAACGAAGGAGCTACCGATGAGTCGGAAAAACGTTTCAGATGCAAATTCCGTTTCTGACCGATCACAGTCGTAAATAATTGGATTTTAAGATGCCACGACGGTGACGACAACGAGAACTTCAAAAAAGCAACAGCTTGACAAGGCAAAACAACAACTTTGCGCGTGCATCACGCTTTTTTGTACATTTCTTTACTGTCACTGTTAGTACGACTACCACGTGAAAATACCTAATTTCACGTTTTGAGGTGGACGTAAACAAGCAATGATAAAATTGTCTTTTTCTTTCTGAAATTGGATGTGGTTGATAGGATTTCAGCTCCGAAAGAGTTCGCTTGCAGTTGACAAAGTAAGTGAGCTGGAATAATCACGATAGAGATTGAAAAAACGCGAATTCACTTTTCAAGCAACGCTTTCCTAACCATCAGCCGTCTCTTATATTTACGAAGGCGTGATCGATGCAAGCTTGAATACCCGTTGTCAGCTCAAGCTTGTATTTTTGGAAAAGCGTCTGTAAAATACCCTTACATACCTCATACGTTTCCATGTTTTAGTCAACGGGTAGACAGTACACGTATTTTGAAATGGGGAGTTTATATCAAACTGAAAGTTTCCTAACTGCGTGCATTTCTTTGGTGAAAGCCAGACAAGCCGTGATCGAGACAACAGGGAGCTTTAGGAAAGACGTTTTTGAGCAAGGCACGTCAACCGGAAGTGAGCCCTTCTCCCTTTCTATATGCCTTGACTCTGACAAATTTGTATTGCTAAGTTTCTTTTCTCTTATAAAGACAATTTACCTGAGAGTTTGAACCAAACCACTGCCCAATGATGCAATGGTCCGGTGTGAGTTAGACTACGAGCAGTCCCCCATTTGTCCTCAGGGACAGTAGAGCGAGCGAAACGCGAACGCGCGCGAAAATCACCCCACGCGAGAAAAGGCGACACGCGGCGGCTCGCCTTTCTAGCGTGGGGCGAGTTTCACGCGCGCTCGAGTTTCGCTCGTTTTACTATCCCTGAGGAAAAATGGGGGACTACTCGTAGTCTAGGTATGAGTTGGTACCCAGGGGGTCTCCAGTTCGTGCTTGAAGAAAACTTTTGTCGCGCCTTTTCTTCCGACCTGACTGACAACCGCTGGGTCTCCCAGGATGTTACTATACATTCCCAGTGTATTGCACTCAACAGCCTCGACTTTATCTGCAATATGAAGACATTATAGACCTGGGGCCGCTTGCTCGAAGCCTGGTTACCGCTAACCGTTGGTTAAGAGGTATCAAATTGTATAGGTTTCCATGGTATTTAACGCTGGTTAGCACTAACCATGCTTCGAGCAACCCGGGCCTGTTGTCTATTTCTTTCAATATATAAAACCATCAATATAGTTTTTTTTATAGTCGTTTGATTTTTCCTGTCTTTTAGCGTGACTGTAACGATCTGGTTGAAGTATTCAGTAAAACTAATATGGTGGCTCATCATAGTCGTGTTCAAGACTTGATCTCTGAAGTAACATTCCGAAAAGTTGAAGGCATGCTTCAGGTAATCTTTGCTCAAGTGCTCTGTTAGTTGTGTGTCGTCTGTTTACATAGTATGTTTACACTGTCTTCTGATCTCTCATTTTGACCCACCATGTCAACACTCAAACATCATAGTGTCAACATTGACGAATTAAATTAAAAAAACGTTTTGATGTGCTAAATTATCGTTTGTCTCACGGAGGTCACTGCCGACTGAACACTGCTGGTCTTTATCTGGTGATAACATCGTGACTGTGAGTGATTTCTGCATGTGTAACTTTTCCCATGATTGGAGAATTTTTTTTTTCTGGCACACTGATCGAAAATTCTAACCGTGAGTGACGCCTGAAGTGCACAAATCACCAGCAAGAACCACGGTCCCACTAATAGTCCCGCACTTTCAATCGACACGATCGTCTAATGGAGAGCAGCGGTAGGCGGTCAAAGTGTCACGATCCGGAGTAACAAAAAGGCAATGCGAGGCAAACTATAAACGAAGCATCAAACACAAATCACGTGGATTTGTATATTTCATTATAACTAGTTTTGTAAGTAAACACGAAATATTGCGGTGTGATTCTCATTTCTTTTCTTTGCCCTGCAACCAAGAGGGGGAATGAACGCGAAGACGTCTTCCAGAACCTTTCCGTATATGGGCTTGGATCTCCTCAAGCTCAAAAATGTGGCGAGCTCTTAACGCTGATGCTTACTCATTCCTGGCCTAAACCACAAGGAGATGTTCCCTGCTCAAGTAGAATTATCCTCCATCAAGTTCTGACCTGGAGGTTATGGCCCTGCTTTTTCCAGAGATTTGGTAAGATGTGAATTAAATCCTGGCGAGTGAGGATACTCTCTTGCTTTAAACCTATCGGTATAAGATCCTCTTCCATCCTTGCAAGGTTTGCAAGGTATACAATAATTGATTCCAAACTACCAGACCGGTCTAGGGATTATATGTTCCTTTTTCGTTAGGTCTTAAAGCTCCTCGCTTCTGCAGACATAACGTATTCAATGGCTGAAGCCTTAAATTGGACTAGTTGTCATGCAGATGGCGAATTGTTTCTTCTTTTTTCCATCCGTCGATTTAAACAGTGAAAGAGATGTAAATGTTAAAGTCCTCTGCATGGGAATTAGGGACGAAACCTCAAAGAGAGATCGCTCTTTTTTTGGTGGCGTTTAACGAGAGTCTCAACTTTTTTTTATATGTCGGTAAGATCACGTATTGCCTGGGGGGGGGGGGGGGGCCCCCCCTTTTTTCGGGTTTTTTTTCCCCCGGTGGGAAAAAAGCCATCACGTTTTTGTGAGTTTCAAAACTTTTTTGGGGTTGTTTTGTTTCGCACCTTGCCCCATGTAAAACTTTTTTGGATTATGTCGAACTGCCCCCCCAAGAGGGAAAGTGAGATCTCAGTGTGGTACACTATATAAATATAGGAGCGGTGGATATAGTCGGTCGGAGGTTTTTGGTGTGTCTATGTTTGTTAGTTGTTTCTTTGATTGTTTAGTGTGTCTATTTAATTTCGTTGGAGCGATGGCGGGGGGGGGGGGGGGGGGGGGGGGGAGCACACGCTTTTTTCGGCTCTTGTTTCACCCGTCGAGAAAATAGCTATCACGTATTGTGAAGTTTCAAAACATTTGTCGGGTTGTTAGGATTCGACCCTCGACCCATGAAACTAGTCTTTGAATGAGGTGCAACTACCACCCAAGAGAGGAATGAGGCAAACAATTTTTCCATCGTAATACTTCTAGGTGTTTGACTAATCGATTAATACAATTTGCGTCCCCGTCTAAAATAGCTGTAAGGGTGACATAAGTACTGGGAAAATTTAAAAAGGTAGCCAAATATCATCCTTTGTGGGCTAAGTTGAATAATTTTGTTTATCAAAGTTGTTTTCTCTTGGTCGGTCAGGTAAAGAGTCTGATTATCGCAATGTACTAAGACCTGACGGGCAAGAAATTTTGATGAAGGCATTGTCATCTATTGAAGCTGCCGTGAAGTACCTGAAAGATGGATCTATTACATTCCAAATACTAACTCTAATCCGTGATCACTCTGAGAGATTTCTGGAGCTTTGTGGACAGATCGAACAGATTACTAAAGAAAAAAGTAAGGAATACCTGGAACAATTATTAAACCAGCGTATCTCAGAAGTAACCGCATTTCAAGACCAACGGGACAAAGTTACTTCCTTTGTCAGAACGTGCGCACTCATTAAACAAGGTACACAAATTACGTTGCGCGTTTTTTATACACCATAGCTATGTACTAGTTAAGTCTAAGGGATGATATCAAACCTGGCGAAGGGGAAAAGCTAATGAGAGCAAGTAACACATGTGCATTAATCCACGGTCTGGTCAGATCCTCACGCCTGCACATGGCCAAATCACTCGGGAAGTGGCAGTTATGGATAGCTGTTACGCTCCTTTTGGAGCTTGTCAGTATGGCATAGCCGACAGATCTCTGAACGGCCAAACCCGTATATGACAGGTCCTTTATTGCCGAGTTCCACACAACACATATGGTAGCAGGGATCCACAGGGCAGTTTTCCACGGCACGTGCGGGAAAGGTGGATCAGCATTTCTGCCGATCTTAAGTGAATATGATCATCTGAGTGAGTGTATTCCTGAATAGGACCGTTGGTAGCGGAGACTAACGTTTCATCAACCATTTAGAGTCAAAGTCAGATTGATATCATGCGGGTCTCATTTCCCATTGGCTTGATGTGTAAATGACACATGAATAGATTCAACTTGACATTTTCTGTTTTTGATTTTTTTTCTTTTCTTTTTTTTTTTAGTGAGTGTAGATGAATTGTCCAAGAAGGCTGTTGTGGACGTCTTGCGTCTGCCGATTAAAGAGCTGGCACAGTCGGTAGTTGTTGATGGTAAAGTTAGACCGGTGGTAACGTTCTTTCAGCTCTCGCCTAAGGCAAAGGAGATGATTTCAGAGCTCAGCAAACTACGCAACAGTACATTTTTTCGACGATTTTGGATTGAAAATGGCAAAAAGGCACTTTCACGCATATCACAAAGACAAGGACATAAAGACTTGCTTAGTGTTGACGATGTTGAAGAGTTGGTATGGGCACCATCAATTGAACAGCTGCAGTCGGTGCAAGATCGTTTTCTGAATTGTACCATTTCGTTTCAAGAGATTGACAAGTTCTTTCCGGTTTTCAAGAGCAGCCAAGACCTCGCTGACGAGTTCAAGCTTATCACCTCAAGAAATAGCATTATATTAGCAGCCCGCGAATTGATAATCGACCAGCGCATTGAACAGATAAATGAATACTACAAATTGCAAACCTGCACTGCCGCCGCTAGTGACATCCTGAAATTTAAGGACAGTTTAGGCCTTCAAGGAGATTTTCAACTGGTAGAAGACCTAGAAAACCAGGTTCATGTCGACCTTAATTTATTTTAATTCTCTTTTCTTCCCAATTTGAAAAACCTTGAAATGGCTGAAAGACAGTCCCAACACACTAACTTCCTGCTTGGATTGGTAACTGAGTTAAAAGATATGACCCGCCTGGCTGGTTCATGTCACTTCTTATCGTAAAATGTTTAAGATTTTCTTATCCTTTTTACACAGATGAACAAGGAATTCAAACAGAGACCACTAAAGACTATGGATAAAGCTTTACAAAATGCAGGCAGATTGTTGTCGCTGATAACTCCTGAGCGTGCAGAGTGTCTTGCTGCTGTAGCTCAATGCAGAGATTTCATATCTTGGATAAGGAAAACGATCAAAGGTAGAATATACGCGGTTAATTTAGCTATGTTCACACTGCGCTTAAGATAAGTGGGCTTATTGACAAGAGAAGCAAGGGACGATGTGTAACTGTGTTGCTACATGACCGTTAATAAGACAATGAGTTTTGACCTTTTATTGTGACCTTCTATTCCTGATATTAAGTGACTGAACTGTGAACTAAGCAAGTCAGCGTATACTGGTCACTCCTGTTCCGCAAACAGTGAGTGAGAAACCAAACGGCGTTGGTCCGACCCTCTTAAGCTAAACTTCCCAATGCTACCAACCACTAATTGTCGGCATTTTGGTTGGTCGTTTACCATTCGTATTGAACTCTAGACTGCCGTAAAGAGTCTTTAAAATACTCACTAAAAACGTTACCACTAATCGTGATTATCACTTACTGTTGAGCTTATGATATATAGATAGTTAGATTAGATAGACATGAGACAGACACAGACCGGTGGACAGACGCTAAAACACGATTGTGATTGATTCAAGAAAAAGCCTGGATTTAGTCGTGACTGGACCTTTCCCTCTTGGGAAAAGCTTGTGGAACCCCAAATGAAATAGGGCCATTTCTCATCCTCGTCTTTCCCGACTCCACTCACTTCTGTCAGGAGATCCTGTGTGTCATGCAGTACGTGGAATACTTCGTCGCATTTATCTTTTCTTGTCGAACTCTTTCTTAGGCCCCCAAGAACTCAAGGTCCTTGTGGATTTGGCCATAATCTCAGCTGGGGAGGCAGACATGGAAACGCATAAGATCACATGTCTACATACCAGCTGCCTTGGCTTCGCTTCTCTCATCTTTGATTTGCAACCTACCTTTGGATTTGAGAAACTGATGAGAGCTTGTGAACCAGTTTGGAATGCTGTGGATGCTGACCCCACCCTCCCAGAAAAATTGGTAGGCTTGTTTAGCATAGAGTATGGCTAAATAGGTAAAATGTTTATTTTGTCGCAAGTGTGATGGGTCTTGAACCTATCATTTCTGAGTAGCGGTCTTTTTGGTTGATGGCGTGTTGTTTAGGAATGGAATTTTAATTTACCTGAAAGGATCATGCAGGTATTCCAAGTCGTACATTTTTGAAGAAGTAAAAGTGAAATATCAGTACTCCTGTACTTAGTGGTATGTTTGGATCATTTTGAAATTCCGTTTAAGTAGTTAATTCTTTCTACGTTGATGTTGCCGCCTTAACCTCCTATCGTACTAACGTAGAGTAAAGTAAATGACGGAATGTTGAGATTGCATCTGGCTCTGGTAGATTTGCGTTAAAATGTCATATTTCCTAAGTCTTCTTCAACAGGACAGCCAGCCAGGAAAGCCATTAGGGATTACTACAAGTATTCCATCTACCCAATGACAGTTACAGAATGGAATAGACTGCCAAGGGATATAGCATTGTCCAATTGACCACTCCAGAAAATACCATAACATACCATAATTCTCTTTGTTTGTCACCCCAAAATTTTGCATAAGCATTGTTTTCAGTTTCTCTCGGGGCCATTTTAACTCCCAAGAGAAACTGAAGACAGTGCTTATGCAAAATTTTGGGGTGACAAACAAAGAGTATTATGGTATGTTATGGTATTTTCTGGAGTGGTCAATTCGCTGGCTGCTTTTAAAATTTTATTCCTTTGCGCTCATAAGCGCCTTTTCAGTCACTTTTGTTTTCCCTTTTTTTAGAGCGGTCTGAAATGCTCAGTATTGAGTGACAGACCTAAAAGGTAAATGTAAATGAAAATGTAAACAGGACAGTCACACAAAAGGTCACTACTTTAAACTTCCCAATAGGCCATTTCCGAATTCCCTTAAGCCTCTTTTTCAAAGTGAGTGCTGGTGCACATCTTTTCGTTTAAAAAGAGGTTATGATACAAATGAAAATGATGCTAAACTCATTTTTATCTGAAAGCTTGTCTACCAGGCCTCGCTGTGATAGAGAGGCTGACTGCAGCTTAGAAATGGGCTGTATTCTGATGCTTTGTCAACGGAACTACTCAGGAAACTTCGGTTGCACTTCTGCATATGAGTGCGTGTATCATCAATTCTGCGTTTTTTGCCATTAGCTTCCACACGTAGTATTTTAACTTCTTTTTTTGTCTTTTTACTTACTTTGGCCTTATGCAGGTAGCCACAAGTCGCCAGTTAGAGTGGTTGAAGGGGGTAAAAAAGTCTCATGGTTCAGTGGCAATGTCCTCTCTGATGGAAGCTCAAACTATTAATGAAAAGGGTGTATATCGAGTTGGATGTCCCAGTAAGGATGCCTGGACATCAATGGAAACGTTTTCACTGGATGCTGTGATTGAACTCACGGTAGTCCCAGATAAGAAAAGATTCACTCTTGACAACCTGAAGGATTTACAAAGTAAACTGATGCTTATTGCGGCCAAAGCTTCACATGGAAAAGAAGACGTGGACCGATTTGTTGATGTAAGTCCAACCTTAGATAGTTCTTAAGTCTGGTCAGTTAAATTTGAAACAGTTTAAATGCAATATAGAGTGAATTTTTCTGCAACATAATAGATGTGATATTTTGCCTGACGTTTCCTTTCGTGGCTCGAGGGTACTTTAATCTTATAGGGTTACAATTGCTTACAGCTGAACGCAAAGTGTTATGTGTACATGGTTTTCTTAGATGGATTGTGACAATCGGCATTTAGGATTGCCCACACATTTATTTAGTTGTTGCTGGAATTACTGATCACTTTCGTCATACTTTTTCTTCTAAAGGTTCTTCAGTTTTTGTTTTCTTTCGGAATTAACAGATCCTGCAATGTGTTCAGCGACTTGCTACAGTGTACATCGCTCTTTGCAAAGCTGGAGAAGTAAGCCATCTCCGTTGGAGGCATGAATTTCAGTGTACGCCGCGGCTCTCAACCAACCGCTCCCTTACAAAGGATTTGGAAGAACAAAGTGCCCAGATGGAGCAGTGTCTTGAGTTGTGGAAAAAAGAGCTGCATACTAAGCGTATTCTGTACAAGGAACTGAATCATTTCACCACCCGTCAGTTGTTGTTCCTTCGAAAACAGCTGGCTGTTGTTCAGGGAAGAGGTCCCAGGGCTGTCGATGACATTCCTCTTGAGGTTTATAACCTGTTGGAGAGTGTGTTACCTGGGGTTGAGCCAGCCATCCTTAAATCTGTACTTACCTCTTGTGGAATTTGCAGCCAACAAACCAGCGACAGTATCGTCAGATCGTATGGTGCGACCGGCGCAGTTCAACCTAGCATTCTATTGCACCAGCCCAGGTCGAAATCATCGCATGAGGAAGTGTTTCAAACGCTTGTAGCAAAATTGGAATCGATTGGTTACTCAGAGACTGAGAAATTTGCCATTGCATCAATGATATCATGCAAAGATGCCAGCGAGTTAGATCTCTTCGTGTGGTGTGTAAAAAACGCTGGGAACAAAGATCTAATTGATGCTAGTTACTCAGAAGCCCTTCGTGAACCCAGATATTTGGCACTTATCGATAAAGACAGTAGCTTATCTATAGAAGAGGAAGGGTGAGTTACATACCACATGGTTTTATTTTTTAAATAAATCTCCACATGAAACTATGTAAGCGGCCTTAGCTCCCACGAGTCCCCTCTAGCTCAGTGGTAGAGCACCTGGTCTAGTTGCCAGAATGCTTTTGAGCCGCCTGTGTCACTGACTGAATAAGCATCTTTCTTATTTCTCCACGTTTGAAAAAGCAAATTGGGACTAAAAACACATTCTTGTCACTTTAGGCGAAAACTGATAGCACAATTTTCTTTGTTTACTCAAACGTTATCCTACGACGTTTAAATTTCCTACGACTGTAACCATCGAGGAACAGATAGCATGTTGTGATCACGTTGTTAAGAATAAGGTGTGGTTTCTCAAAACTCGAAAACTATACTTGACCAGCAGTGGCACTGCCATCATGGCATGAGATATGGGGAAATCCAGTGATGTATTTACAACAATGAAAGTCTTTTGCATGCGTAAATGTTTCAGTTTTGTTTCGAACTTTTTACGGTTCTTGGATATCTGACGTTTTTTTGATTTCGTTTAAGTTCTTCTGCAGCGGATATGATGATTGAGCCCGAAGATCTTCCAGAACCCATGGAAACTACTTTTACTTCTGATCAGACAGCAGGCGGGGAGTTCTTAAGCCTTGACGAGCTGGGAAAAGTTCTAAGACAGCTTGCTTTGCAAGGTGTGATTCAGCATTCACCTCTAGAGAATGTCTACTTATCACTCATATTTGTAATTACCAAAATGGCAAGACACTTTTTTTAAAGCGAGTCCTGTTGCTCATCCTATCATATGAAAATAACTTTTCATTCACGTAGAAATGAAATTCTTGTTCATGCACTGGTCGCCTCGCTTTCTTAAGGGGGCCTAAAGGAATTCGGAGATAAGTTCTTTAAAACTAAAACATTTCGTTTCGTTATTGCAGGTTCAAAGAAACGCAAAAGGCGTCACCCAAAATATCTTAATCGTGGAAAGCCAAATCTTGTGGTTATTCCTAAAGGTAAAGAAGAAGGGGAAACTTTATAGTTATAAAATACGCTGTCTTTTTCTTGCCTTCCTCTTCCCTCCCTCCCAGCCTTCTTCTATAATTGTGGCGTTGAATTTCGTCGTCTCTCCTTCCTTTCTTCCTTCCTCTCTCCTCTCCGTTCTTCTTTTCTCCCTCTGGTGATTGTTTTGATTGTGTTCTTCCTTTAGTTATGGATTCAAAGGTTTGCCGTTAAAATTGTACTCAGACCTATATTTCAAATTCATTTGTGCTTTTTAACCCCTTTCCTTTGTTCTTGCGCTTACCCGACCTCATGTAAGATATTTATTACATTCCCTTTGCAGATGACATTCTAGGAACGGTGCTATCCTTGTACATGCAAGACACCTCACAATCTCTGCCAAGTTCCGAAGAAGTGTTGATATGCTCTTCTGATACAACTGCAGAAGAGGTAAGGTTTTTTTTTAAAATTTCACGTCTCGATTTAGAATTTCGATTTCGTGCAGTCAGGGGAGTCTTATGTTAAGATGTTGAAGGAGACCTGACACTCGGGTTACAATATATTCCAAGGAAGTGAGTGTTTCATGGAAGATTCAGCGCGTTGTACATATGATCTTTGCGACCTTTTTTTCTTTGTCTCTTATTCGTAAACAAAGCTGAAAGAGCATAATTACGACGTAACACAGTAAGGGCTCCTGACCTGAATCTGGACTGATTAACGTCATCAGCATATAACTAGCTTTTTTGGCCAAAATGTAGACCTTTCTCACAGAATGTCCCACTAGCAACAACCACGTTAAAACTGATTCCGTTACAGATTGAGCTTCTTTGGCGACGAGCCCTTGGTGACAGTGGAGTTCAGATGTTCTGTTTGGTGCATGTTGACCTTCTTGACTACAGTGTTTCCCAGAAAGCTGCTGACAGCCTGGAATTCTTACTGCAGGAACCTCAATGCAATCGCAATGATGGTATTTAAAGTTACCTTAATGTTTTCTGTATGCACAGATTGGCCCAGTGGTTAAGGGAGCTGAATTTTACGGCGGTAGCACGAGTTCAAATCTGCGCTCTGCCCACAAAGTGTAGTTGTTATATAGCTGGAAAATGTTTTCCCAACAGCGCGCGCTCGCGTTGGTTACTTCGAAGTCACATGGCATCTAACATTGAAACTGCTTCTTGACGTCAGAGGGCAACAGTGCACTGTTACCCGCGAATGTTGACCGCTCCGGAGATATATTTAACAATTATTCTTTGAAATCGAGGTGAATAGTGGCTCAAAATTTACCGAACCGCGAAGCGGCGAGCTAAATGTTCCTAAAGCCACTATTCACCGAGATTGAAAAGAATAATTGTTTTAGTATATACACACGAAGTGATCTCAACAAAATCAGAGAGGAAACCATTAAAAAAGTACGATTTGATTGACGGATCAAATCACGCGAAAGTTTAAAAATAGATCTCTACAGAATTTTCAAACATGGCAATTCACAAGTTTATCACTTCGCAAACAACAGCGTAATGGCTTGAATGGAACCGTTAAAAGTTTACATTGTTTCCTTACCTGAGAAGAAAAGTAGAGCTTTGTTGTTTTCTGTTGAAAAGTTTATAGTAAAAAAGGTTTGTTGTGTCGTTCTTCGCATGAAGTGCTGACTAAAATGGCGGCTCGGTTGCTCGAGGTAAGACGTCGTCTTCCTGGAGCAGTCTTTTTCCTATTTACTTGAAACGTAGAATTTCTGCAAACATTTGCTTTCAAATTTGTTTTTCATAAATATACTTTGATTTTTGGGCCAAATTTTTCTAGTTAGGAAACGATGAGTTCTCGAAACGGTCCCTTCTACGCGAATAAACGGGAGTTGTAAACAATCCATCGAGCACAAAACTCAGCTACAGTAAATGGAAAAACGCCGTTGTGAATCCTTGGAAGTCTTTTCTTGCCTTAAAAGACGTCAACCCTAGGATTTTGTCGACTTTTAAAAGATCATTCTCTAAAAAAATGGAAAAACACCGAGCTCACACATTATCCTTTCGCTAGGAGGTGAATATTGTTGAATAGTCCGAGATACCGAACCAATCAGGTTGCATAAATCACCAAGATCACTGAGTGTGTTTATATTCGTATATTTGTACACACAAAAAAGGTTTTTTTTCATAGGCTCCGCCTCGGGAAACATTGATATTATCGGGAGACAAAATTAACTGTTTTCCTCGGGACCAGTCATTAAGTGTCTATTGTTTCTTGGTAGTCCTGAGATCAGCTCCTCGGCCACGCCTGTAAATATCCAACTGGGTGGTCTCCTGCCAGTTGGAAGTTTTAACCGGTAATTTTTAATTTTTGTTATTTTTTAATGTGTTATTGTATAAAGTGAAAACGCCAAAGCAAGGTCCACACTGTTGCCGTAAAAACAGTATCAGTGACAAACAGTTTTTTCTTCGCTGAAATACTCGGACACTGATATAATATCGTGCGAAGAATATATGTATATAATACATAAATATGCATGTAGTTGACCAAACTCTCCCCGAAAGGAAATGTAATAGGGAAGATGTTTGTTTACAGACAATCTTATTATCTTTAACTACGGCCACAGTAACACAAACGGCCTCTGTTTTAAGTAACAGCCAACTGGCCTCAGGTTGGCTCATGATATTAACAAGTTGCCTCAGTGATACCTACACTAAAAAAGTGTCTTAAGATGAATCATTACAAAGAGGACGTACGATTGTTATGACTGTTAAGCTGATTCTTAGAGGGTTATATAAATTCTCTCGTGATGTATTTTGCAGACAAAAGCCAGAAACCGCTTTCTTTTTTCCTCGTAACCAAGCATTTGATCCACTTATTTTCTTGTTAGGGCTGTCTCTTGTGGTTATCTGTAGTTCTGAGAATGAAGACAGAGCTCATATGGCTGCAGCCCTTGATCAATACAGACTTGGAACTATTCCACATTGTGCTGCACCAAAGGATATCAGGCAATATCTACAGACGCAGTTCAAGTCGTGTCCTCAAACACCAGGAAGGTTTCAAGATAAGGTCATTCCATGGGCACCTGCAGCAATGTTGGACAAACAAAAGTAAGAGGAAAACCTTATACTATCTGTGTCGTTAAGAGAATACGATTTTCGTTTGGTTTCACCTTTTGTTGTCACTGTTCTCATATCTGCGATCGTAAAGAAGGATTTCCTCTCTACGTTTAGTGATGGTAGGTAATCTAGTAGTTCAATTTCATTGTCGATCTTACCAGCAAAATAATAATACTAAAAGTGATGATGTGGTTGTGGTGGTGGTGGTTTAATATAACAAAAGTAGGAATTCTAACTGGGTAAACCAGTTGGCTATTCACAAGTGCCTGCCCATTGTCCGGGAGGTCATAAGTCTTGGTTTCTATCAGGGACGAAGGATTCCTTCTTTGTCTCATCCTCGTGGCATAATGGTTGTTAAAGCTTTCTTTATTGGTGTGTCGTATATAAGGAAAACCAATAATGTGCGTGTTCCATTGACTTTAGCAATACTCCTCTATTATTAACAACCACGATAATATCAACGGTAACAACACCGACCACTACCAACACTTCCGACTTAGAACTCCACAGCTAGACTACAGCTAGAAACACTCACATAACCATGAACTGAACCACGAACACTATCATCAGCCACCGATCAACATCCCCCATCGTCACCTCTTGAGCAGTGCTAAACGTAATTCAGCCCTCATTACTTGAATCTTACTGAAGTTTTAAGATGCATGCGACCACTGCAAATGCCAAAGTTGCAAGTCAGAATTACATCCTTTTTGGTATTAAAAAACCATTCTTGTTTCTTGTAGACACCAAACCGAAATCCAGTTTTAATATCCAGGAGATTAATAAAGAGAGTGAAAGTAGTTGCTTTTTTTCTAAGATAAAAAATCTATCTATTTTTTATAGGTTGTCAGTAAGAGTTGTGTCCTCTGAAAGAGCAGGTTCTGGCAAGAGCTTGGTGGTTCGGCGACTAAGTGAAAGCTTACTTGAAATTGCAAACAACTCCGTTGTGACTAGTTACCTCAGAGATATGGAGGCAGATGTGCCAATGTGTATCAGCGTCCCAATTTATGGACCAACAGTCGATCAGTGCGCCGTTGTGGAGTCATTGTTACCGCACGTGATTGTTCCTGATCTGCCACTTTCCCGAATTTTTCATCTCGATGTCCATCCGTCGGTAATAATTGTTACAGTATTAATAAACAAGAATTTTTTACGGTCTCTGAATATATTTCACGTTTTAATGTGTGTCAAAGCAGGGTTCGCACAGTCTTGAAAAGTCCCTTAATTTTGGGGGAAGTCCTTGAAAAGTCCTTAAATTTCTGTGCAAGTCCTTGAAAAGTCCTTGAATTTTCTTCAACTTTAAATCTAGTGGCCTGGAAAGTGTTTTTTGATGCTTTTTGGTTGTCCAACACAGAGTATAAATCATAGCTCAGAAAATTAAAAGGTTATTTACACAAAGTGAACTGAAAACTGTAGAGAATTTGGTGAAGCAAACAGTTCAAGCCTTAAAGCCTTATTAGAATAGGCTGGGAATGGACATTTATGTACATTCTGTGAAATTATATTCCTAGTTGGTGGTCTTTGAAAATCTAATGTGGCCCTTGAAAAGTCCTTGAAAAACAGCTGCAATTTTTTGTATGAACCCTGCATAGGACATAACCTAAGAACGTTTGAATCACGCAAGAAAAAAACAGCAACACGAAACACGTCAGCTCTAAAACACTGAATAAACAATGTGTCTGCAGCAGGGCTCGAAAAAAAGGCCCGTCCGGTTGTCCGGGACAAGTAGACATTTTTTGCTGGGGAAGTTAACTTTTAAAGTTCACCTGCCCAGTGGATAAGGATGCAAGCAAGTCTACCTCTAACTGAATCATAGACGAAACTGAGACGAGCAAGAAGTGGTCCCAGGCAAGCCAAATGTGAGAGATGCTTGCCTGGAGGACAAGTTGGAACGCAATTTTTTTGGCGATCCCTATGCAGCACTAAGATAAGCAAAAAGTTTATATATACGTGATTATACACATAAAATTAATAAATGTCCAGATGGAAGTCGCACCTATGAAAATTTCAAAAAGTTCGCTATATATTTTCATAGGTAAAGAGTGGTCTTGACTCTCTTTTGTTCAATCTGCTGATCCTTGGTGTTTTGAAGAGCGGTAGTGGTCAGGTCTGGAGACGTAGACTGTCTGATTTGTATGTGATTGAACTAACCACGGGACCAACACAAGGGAACAACGAAATCCTTCAACGGCAATTGAAGACCTCTAAGGTAAGCTGCCGTCCAGAAAACGTATTCGTCATCAGTACGGTGCAACTGCTCTTGTAAAAGACTATGAGTTTTATCCTACTGTATTTGTATCCTCTTTGCACAGATTTTATATCACTTCCTAGGAGGCAACCTGCCTCGGGTGCTTTTTTATTTTGTTTTGCTTTTTTGCCTTCTCTCAATTCATTTCTTTAGTTTGGTGGTGCATTAATAAGCAAAGGATTTAATGAACACAGCGGTTTTTAGTTTGTACGTCATGTTTCTGATGCTACAAGACGATTTTGGCGTTGTTTGGTGAAACCAGTGCAAAATTCTGTTGGAACGCGACTCATGAATAGCAAGTTAACCTGGAAATGAGAGTCGATTACGATCTATCTTAGACCACTCCAGACACTGATTCTGAAAGTGAGAAAAGGCTGAAATAAAAGGTAAAAAGGTTATTTTTGGAAGGCGTTGACACCATGAATTATCTACTCCGTAGCGTGTGGACTCTAGAAAAGGCAAAGCAGAACCTTTTTACAGGCTGCTTCCGACTATTGAATGTGGAACACCAATACAAACATTAAAGAAGTTAAGGACACAAGAAATGGGTAAGCGAAAACATTCATTAAATACTCTTTATACTTTTTTTTTGTTCGCGATGTCATCGAGCTGATGAGTGACTTTGCATTAGAGCACAATCCCACGTTCGAACATGTTTTTAGCAGACCTGTACGCACAGACTCAAACGCTAGAAAAAGTTGGTTGGACTGAGAAATTGTGCTGGCGTTTTCCATCGTTAATTGACAGCAGCATTTTTTTCTTCGTTTGACCAATGTTCTATAAGTGCGCGATTTTTCAATATCTTTTTAGTTGGCCATCTGGTGGTAAGCGAGAGTATTATTTCATTCTTTGCGATGAATATTGCCATTTAAACATGCCCCTTTAGTGTTAAACATTAAAGTAACTTAATTTTGAAAGTGTAAATTGCATTAATACTAAATGGCTTGTAAGGATTTTGTTTCTAATATGTTGATTGTTTTCACAAGAAAGGAGGCAGCTAATGTGCATGTCTATTGAGATGTTTTTTATTCTTTGAAATTTTAGATGACAGTCGCAACCCTCTATTCGACAATGCTGAATTTAGAAGCTCATATGTTCAACGGGCGTTTCAGTATCTTAAGTTTTGGGAGTCAGCAAGAGAGAACCTGAATCAGTTCTGGTTTATACCTAGTCAGGTGATGGGTGACCATGCAGAGTGTATAGAAACGCTTGTAAGGTACATTGTATTTCAGAGACTTCCGATTCGTGGAGCAATGAAGGTGGTTAAATTGTCTTTTATTGTCACCGCTTGGTACATTACCATTTAAAACCAAATGAAATGCTTTTTATGCTAGAGATTTAACAACAGCCTTAAAGTTTTTATAGGTGGAATTCATGAGTTTTATTAAGCTTGGTAAGCAGCTAATGGCAGGAGTACATTCCGTTTATTCTTGTCTTGAAACGGTGCTTGGATGTGCATTAGGATTTAATTGTGTCAGTGGCTCATCAATTTAGCCGGCAGAATTTTAGTCTTTTGTCAACCTTGCTCTTCTTCAATTACGTGATGCCTTTTCTCCTATTTTTCGTTTTTGCACGGGACACAACTACTAGTAAAAGGGGAAGTCAGTCGTTCTTTACTTATTTTCTTTTAGAAATTGCGGTGTTGAGGACCCTTCATGGGCTGAACTCCGTCACTTTGTGAACTTCCTAAATTCTCAGCTCCAAGCTTGCGAGGAAAGTACGTTTTGTAACATGGAACTTGTGNAAATTTAAAAAAGTTCGCTATTTATTTTCATAGGTAAAGAGTGGTCTTGACTCTCTTTTGTTCAATCTGCTGATCCTTGGTGTTTTGAAGAGCGGTAGTGGTCAGGTCTGGAGACGTAGACTATCTGATCTGTATTTGATTGAACTAACCACGGGACCAACACAAGGGGACAACGAAATCCTTCAACGGCAATTGAAGACCCCTAAGGTAAGTTGCCGTCCAGAAAACGTATTCGTCATCAGTACGGTGCAAGTGCTCTTGTAAAAGACTATGCGTTTTTTCCTACTGTATTTGTAGCCTCTTTGCACAGATTTTATATCACTTTCTAGGAGGCAACCTGCCTCGGGTGCTTTTTATTTTGTTTTACTTTTTTTCCTCCTCTCAATTCGTTTCTTTAGTTTGGTGGTGCATTAATAAGCAAAGGATTTAATGTACACAGCGGTTTTCAGTTTATACGTCATGTTTCGGATGCTACAAGACGATTTTGACGTTGTTTGGTCAAACCAGTGCAAAATTCTGTTGGAACGCGCCTCATGAATAGCAAGTTAACCTCGAAATGAGAGTCGATTACGATCTATATTAGACTACTCCAGACACTGATTCTGAAAGTGAGGAAAAGCTGAAATAAAAGGTAAAAAGGTTATTTTTGGAAGGCGTTGACACCATGAATTATCTACTCCGTAGCGTGTGGACTCTAGAAAAGGCAAAGCAGAACCTTTTTACAGGCTGCTTCCGACTATTGAATGTGGAACACCAATACAAACATTAAAGAAGTTAAGGACACAAGAAATGGGTAAGCGAAAACATTCATTAAATACTCTTTATACTTTTTTTTTTGTTCGCGAAGTCATCGAGCTGATGAGTGACTTTGCATTAGAGCACAGTCCCACGTTCGAACATGTTTTTAGCAGACCTGTACGCACAGACTCAAACTCTAGAAAAAGTTGGTTGGACTGAAAAATTGTGCTGGCGTTTTCCATCGTTAATTGACAGCAGCATTTTTTTCTTCGTTTGACCAATGTTCTATAACTGCGCGATTTTTCAATATCTTTTTAGTTCGCCATCTGGTGGTAAGCGAGAGTATTATTTTATTCTTTGCGATGAATATTGCCATTTAAACATGCCCCTTTAGTGTTAAACATTAAAGTTACTTAATTTTGAAAGTGTAAATTGCATTAATACTAAATAGCTTGAAAGGATTTTGTTTCTAATATGTTGATTGTTTTCACAAGAAAGGGGGCAGGTAATGTGCATGTCTATTGAGATGTTTTTTATTCTTTGAAATTTTAGATGACAGTCGCAACCCTCTATTCGACAATGCTGAATTTAAAAGCTCGTATGTTCAACGGGCGTTTCAGTATCTTAAGTTTTGGGAGTCAGCAAGAGAGAACCTGAATCAGTTCTGGTTTATACCTAGTCAGGTGATGGGTGACCATGCAGAGTGTATAGAAACGCTTGTAAGGTACATTGTATTTCAGAGACTTCCGATTCGTGGAGCAATGAAGGTGGTTAAATTGTCTTTTATTGTCACCGCTTGGTACATTACCATTTAAAACCAAATGAAATGCTTTTTATGCTAGAGATTTAACAACAGCCTTAAAGTTTTTATAGGTGGAATTCATGAGTTTTATTAAGCTTGGTAAGCAGCTAATGGCAGGAGTACATTCCGTTTATTCTTGTCTTGAAACGGTGCTTGGATGTGCATTAGGATTTAATTGTGTCAGTGGCTCATCAATTTAGCCGGCAGAATTTTAGTCTTTTGTCAACCTTGCTCTTCTTCAATTACGTGATGCCTTTTCTCCTATTTTTCGTTTTTGCACGGGACACAACTACTAGTAAAAGGGGAAGTCAGTCGTTCTTTACTTATTTTCTTTTAGAAATTGCGGTGTTGAGGACCCTTCATGGGCTGAACTCCGTCACTTTGTGAACTTCCTAAATTCTCAGCTCCAAGCTTGCGAGGAAAGTACGTTTTGTAACATGGAACTTGTGGGAGACACCCTTGAGGGATTTAGAAGCTTTGTGGTCCAATTTATGATCCTTATGTCACGGGTAAGAAGAATGTAAAAGGTGGCCATGACGCAGTAATGTTACTGGCACAATAGAGAAGAGAGGTGTGACGTCACAAAAATTAAAATTTGTAAAAATTATGGGATAGGTTGGCATATTCAGAAAGAGCGAGATGAAAAATGTCCACTCGCTAAAAATCAACCTGTTAGTGCAAATTGGTGGGGAGATATAAGCAACGTTACGTTCTGATGACTCCATACAAATCCTTGTACAATTAGCTTGGATCGTAACGTTAGCGATCCGGGCCTATTTAAGAAGGATTAATGTGGAGTCATCAGAACATACAGTGCTTATATCTTTCCACCAATCTGCGTTAACAGGCTGATTTTTAGCAAGTGGACATTTTTCACCTTGTTCTTTCTGGATATGCCAACCTATCCCATCATTTCACAAACCTTAATTTTTGTGACGACATCACTTCTTTCTTCATTCCGAGTCGCTAACCACCACCCTTGTAGGTACTGTGTGTATTCCTGAGGGAAATACGGACACCCCGTTAATACGGACACTAGGCTGATTTAGCAACAGAACGGGAACGTCATTTGACGACGGGAAAGCGCGCGAAAACGACTAAACTCTAGTTCTGATGTCCAATTTGTCGCTCTGCCATTGGTCAAGCCAGTTGTTTGATTTACGCGCGCCGTCGTCAACTGACATTCCCGTTCTGTTGCTAAATCAGCCTATTTTCTACTACCCCTTCAGTGTCCGTATCAATGGGGTTTGACTGTAATTGCTGCTTACTTAATGATCGATGATCTCCGTGATCAAAAGAAATAACTCTTCAACTACCGTAGCGTTCGCATCGATCGTTGTGAACATATAAAGCCGAGCAAACCTCGCAAATGAATGTCTCTATTTCCTTCCCAATGGTATTAATACCCTTCATAACGTTTGGAGCGGTAATATTCGCGTTCCTTAAAGTGACTGCTGTTTTTCAAAGGATTTTGCTACGCCATCTCTGAACTGTTGTGATAGACCTGTCGAAGCCCGTGTTGAACGCGATGACGATGGTGCCGATGATGACGAACAAGATACAGCTGTCGTTCAGTTGTCTTTGAGAAGACACTGGGAAACCAGGTATGATGTTACGCCATGTGGTATCTTGCCACGTTCGGTTTCGTGTTTCACACCTAAATTTTGAGTTATGTGCAGTTCGCAAAATGATAAGAGTTCATCATTTCCACATTAAAGCTAACGTCCTTTGTAAACCATGAAGTTTGTGTCTAAGTCAAATTCATGGAAAATAGGTGCACTTTTTGCTAAAATTTAAACACGTTTAAAGGCAAATTGAATTTCTCCTTCTGTTTTTGTAAACTTAATTCCTTCTTTCTGTGATTGTCTTTTATAAGTGTGTTCATGGATTTCATTGTTTTAATACAGTTCACACCCCTACATATTCTTTAATCAAGATGGCATTACCATGACGTTTGTTGGCTTCCATATTGACCGAGATGGCAATTTAATTGATCCAGACAGCGGCGACCTCATCCAGCCTAATTTAATGTCAAGGCACTTGCGCACTGGTCTGTTTGTCCAAAAGGTTGACATGGAAACCAATTACGAATCTTGGGGAAAGTAAGTAATATATTTCTTCTGTGATTTAATTTTGTAGATCTAGATTATTCTACGCTTCCATTTTGGCGTGGTATCGTTGCAAGATGTGATAAGGTTCATACGCTGTGTTTTATTGCACACAGGGGAGACAAAATCGAGAAGCTTTGTGGAGTGATGGGTGTTGAATGGCCCTATGATCCGGATGACGCCTACGAGCTCACCACAGACAACTTTAAGAAAATTCTGGCCATCCATATGCGTTTTAGGTAGGGTGAAAAGTTTAGAATTAGAGATGATTTTTACCAGTAACTTCACACCAGTGAAACACCATTTGAATGTACGAGCACAAAAATCATCACTTGCCCCTCACCCCTTCCTCGTTATTCCTCCGAGGTGGTCAAATCACCAAAATGAGATAGTCTTCCCTACTCACAAACCATTTGATCAAAATTTAATTTTTCTCCTCCTTCTCTACCACCTGAATTTTATTGTCTTCCTTCCTCCTTCATCACAGACCGTCACAGTGTAAGTGTCGTCCTTACTTTTCCGCTATCAGTACCACAGTTTAGGTCTCCTCCTTTCTTCTCCACAATAACCAACGCCATTTCATTGTCGCCCTTCCTCGGCCTTTGACATCCCCACAATTTTTTTTGTCGTCCATCCTCTTCGACTAAAACGCCACAATATTATTGTTGTCTTTCCTCGACCACCACATCGCAACAACTTTATTGTCGTCATCATCCCTTCACCAGTTTTATAGTCCTTCTTCTTCCTCCACACCAGCGCCACAATTTTATCGTCTTCCCTCCTTCTCCTCTAGAGCACCATAATTTTTCTGTCATCCTTCTCCTCCACCACACCACCACAATTTAATCGTCCTCCACCACCACCTTCAAACTACCGCCTTTCCACCTCAACCACCCGCATCACCACCATCTCAGCTTGTTCAGGAGAGGTGAACAATAGTTTGTGCCGTTTAGTTAACTTTAATAGAACCCAGTTATCTTTGCCTTTAATAAGAATATAAAAAAAAAATTCGGCGAAAGTTTCATTTAAGCCAATCCTAATTTACTAAAGGATCTTCCTTAGTAATGTTTATCTGTGATCGTTTTATGGCCGCCTTAAACCACTGAATAGGCCCATAGAAATTTTGTAGACTTGAAGTAGTGGGTAAGAGTGGGTAGACAAGTGTGTTCCTTCTTACATAATCTTCAACTCATTCTACAGCTAGTAAAAGTGCTTAGTCCTGCTTGGGTGCTGTTGATGCAGTCTCAAGTTTGGCCAGAGTCTTAGTCTATTTTGTTTGTTTTTTTTTCTTTTTGCACTGATTCAAATGAAGATGTGGTATTCCTGTGGTGGTAATGGGCGAGACGGGCTGTGGGAAAACCTGCCTTATTCGGTACATGTGTGGCTTACAGTCAGGACCCGGAGGACCAAAAAACATGCTGCTTATGAAGGTAGATATCTTTTTACTGTTATTTATATATGGTTGCGTGTGTGCATGGGGGAGGGGGGGAGGGGTGGGGTACGGGTCCAGGGAGATTCCTTATGTTTTTTTCTTCTTCTTTACTGTTCCTTTTTCGTTTGGCCGGGAACGCAGACGTATTTTCGGTTGTCGCTTTTGTCCGCCCGAACAGTGACATCTGCGAGCCTGAGCCGCCAAAGGATTTCTGTGATGTAATACCTTTTGTTTTGTTGATTACCACTGAGATAAAAGAATAGAGTTACAGGTTGAGTGACTCCTGCACGTCCTCGCGCGCTGGCGTGTCTAGGAATTTGGCGAGAGTTTTAATACGCTTTGGGCCGTAAATTTTGTGACCACGACCGAAACGTTCTGATATCAACATTTACGAATGTGAATCAGTGATGCTTTCTTTGTAGAGAAACGTATCCTAAAGCTATGGAGAAAATCTGTCACTTCGGTGCTCAATAATCGTTACAATGAAAAGAAAAATAATGTGATCTCGCGTGCGGACTCGCATCTATCTTACCGTTATAGAAAGTACAAAACAAAACTTCTTTTTTCGTTTGAAACAAAAAAGGAACAAATGGCGATTAACATTGGTACGAGGTAAACGAACGACTTTTCGTCACCAGAATATTCCCTTGTGATGAAAACAACAAGAGCTTATCAATCTTGATTTTCTAAACGCCAGAGGCAAATAGACGAAATATCCCTCTTCTCTTCTTCAATATATTTTATGGAATCATCCTTGTGTTTATCTCATCTATAAACTTTCGTTAACGCTCCATAATCTTCCGTTGCTGTTACGACTTGAAGGTATTGCAGACACATGTGGATCAACGCGCACCAATGCGTTTGACAGCTAACCTGTGAGTGACTTTAATTTCTACGTGACAGAAAAAGTTTGGCGGCTTGGACTCGCAGACGTTACGTTTTCGGTGTAGAGAAGCAACAACCAGAAAAACCTCAACGTTCCCACGCTTTTTTCGACTTTTTTTTTTACTAAAGTGAGGGAATTGTTTGACCCAACTCAATAAAACTCACCGAGCTGATCAACGTGGCTCGTACGATAATGGACTACTTGAAAGATGGATACGAACAAAAATTGCACGTGAAAATATTTCTCTGATTGGCCGAAAATATTTCTCTGATTACTGAAAAATCTCTGATCAATATGCTATTCTCTTTTATTTAAGAACGTAAGACCGTAGTTCTGAAAGCCAAATGCGAAATAGACCCGATTCGTAAACAAACAGGGCTTGTTTCTATTTCGGCTTTTTCCTAACTTACTTCGTCCAGAAATTCCGCCACTTCTTGATTAGTTGTTAGACAGGATTAGTAAGGAACATATAAAATATACAACTGACGCCTTTTTATTGTTCCTTTCCGTTGTGATGTTCAGTATCTTGTTCTTGGCATTTTAGGAATTAAAAAGATTAGTGAACAGTCAGCAATTCTAGTTGAATTATGTGTTGACAGGTTCATGGAGGTACATCCTACAAAGATATTGAGAAGAAAGTAGAACAGGCTGAGGCTATGGCCAGAGTGAACGAAGGCCTTAACATGGATACAGTGCTGTTCTTTGATGAAGCCAACACAACAGATGCTCTAGGGATGATCAAAGAGGTCATGGTGGATCGCAGAATCAATGGCAGAAAAATCGGAGTTGGGCTCAAAAGATTGCAGTTCATTGCAGCATGTAATCCTTACAGAAAGTAAGTGTACAACTCCTTAGCTATTCGATCCTCTTACTTTTAGTAAATATACTATTAATAACCAAAGGTTACGGAGTGCGGGCGACAACGATCGAAGGTCAAAGCGTTTTTGCTCTATCGCTGTGCTTTGGGTAAGTTTCACTTGACAGATATTCAAAACAGGCGTGTTAGAAGTGATAGAAGCTCCAAACGCGCGTGATCAAATTATGTTCTCTGCATTCTATTCAGTCTTAGTAGAAGTCCAAATAAATGCTGACTACATACGTGCGACGCATGCGTAATACCAACCTGGAGATTAGGATTGCTGGCTCCTCTTGTCGCCCGCAACAAATTAATCCATCTGTTTTTTATCATGTAGACATACAGATGAAATGATCCATAAACTAGAATCAGCTGGCTTGGGTTACCATGTTGCAACTCAAGAAACACAAGATCGGCTTGGTAAGACATAACAGACAGAAATTAAACATTCCGATCGCGGCATGGCTTGAAAGATATTGTAAATCCTGCATTATTATGGCGTTTTTACTAAAAACATTTTGAGCACATTTTTGACATACAGACATAGTCCTTTGTCACGTTTAGGGGGTCATACTCCACTGTCAGGTATTCAAGTCGTAATTGAAATCACCAAATGTCCTGTGTCAAATGCAACTGTGTGAAAAAAAAAAAATTGTAGTAAACAATTCTTTGTTAATACATATGCTAATAGAAGAAACTTGCTACGTTAAACTAACGTCAGCCAGAAAGGTTTTGTGTTCAACTGAAACCGAATTACATTTCACCCGCAGACTGAAATGTCTAGGTTGGTTTGGTTTGCTTTGTCAAATTTATTTTCAGAAAATAATAGTTTATTTGCTTTATATTTATGCTAGGACGTATTCCTCTCCGTCACCTGGTATACAGAGTCCATTCTCTGCCAGAGAGCATGCGTCCTTTAGTCTGGGACTTCGGGCAATTGAAACCTGAAATCGAGGAGCTCTATACGCGTCAAATTATCAGCAGATTTGTAAGTGGAATTTATGTCGGGTGACATAGCGTTTCAGTGTTTTTTACTAAATGAAGGAATGTTCATACAAGCCTTTCTTTACGATGTAGTTTCCCCTAATATTACTTAGATGTTCTTTGCCGATGTTGTTGTTGGTTTTATATATATATATATATATATATATATATATATATATATATGTAAAATTTCTTTTAACTTGAATATTAAGGAATCGATTTCTAGACAACACGCCTTGGAAAATTCGTAGATATCATTTGTCGCTATCGACATTAACATGGCAGAAGTAATATACTGTGCAATTAATGTCATACTTGTGGCTTTGAAAAATGACCTTGATGTTTTGAAAATGTTCGCGACAGTTACTCATTTTTGTCTTTCATTTACTGCTGTTCTTTTTTCGTTCAAGGTTCTTCAAGAAAATCAGATTCCAGGGGATGAGTTACTGGTTAAAGCTCTGACAAAAGTGCTAACAGCTTCTCAGCGTTACATGAGAGAAC